GGAAAGAGGAGGAAATAGAATATCTCAACTAGGTAGTAAACAAATTTAAAAATTCATGTATGTTAAGCAAGGACTCAGAATCAATGCCTAGCAGCTTCCTAAATGAAGTGAAATGACCTGACCTAGGTGTGCACAGATTTCAAGGCACTCCCAAAGCCATCTGCTTACTGTTTTCACCATCATCTCCTACAGCCCAAATCTGAAAGGATCAGAGTCAGAGTAGGCTTCAAGTTTGTCTATATGTCTGAAATAGTTCATAAGTTAACCTTTTTCCAAGGAAAAAAAGACTTTTAAAAATAGGACTACTGAATCTTGGGGTGCTTTCTAATAAACTCCAACTCATAAAATATTTATACTAACAAAAGTTAACTTTCCTTTTCCTGACATTGCTAGAATGTCCCAAAGACTGTTAACTGATTTGATAGTTCCATTTTTCTATCACTTTTAACTGGAAATTTAAACAAGTCTCATAAGTTTTGTGGACATCAGGGAATTTTACTCTGTAAAATTTCACAGGGTAAATGTGAGAATCTATTTTTTCAAACAAAACGGTTTTGTGGCTTCAACAAAGCTTCCACCCATGATCCAGGTCATATGTGTGAGGTAAATGATAATCTATAATCTAGGTGACCTTGGGTTGTGTCACGGCTGACAGAACTGGAAAAGGTTACAATATGTTTAATAAAAATATTGAACAGTAACAAACTTTGATCCTTCTTCCAGACCTACGTGACAAAGCTCACAACTATTTCATAATTTATCATTATGGTAAAAACAATCAGCTCTATAAGGTGGTTGCATTTACAGAGTTTTCTTACTTTAAAAATCAGATTCTAAAATCGATAACAGATTTTTAAAATACAGGAGAGACAGTACAAAACACTAAACATGGTATTGCATTTAACATCAGAAGATCTAGTATCAAATCTTAATGTCATTCATTCATTCATTATAGATGCTCCTTGACTTATGAGGGAAAACAAAAAAAAAAAACTGGAATTATCTCTTTGGAGGGCAGACCCTTATAATATAGGCTTCCCCCATCAGGTAAGTGTTCTAGGAATCCATCAGCATTAGTCTACCAGCTTGCGTTTTTGTGAGAGGCTGTGTTCATTTTGTTGTTGTTGTTTTAGCTTCTTTCAACATGTTTGCCCATTTCATGATGGGTGATTTACTAGTGCACCTGCCCACACCCATACTGTGCTCAGGAGTTTTTTTTTTTTTTACCAAAAACAGCAAGATTCCTGTGCCCCACACTCCCTATTCACCTGATCTGGGGTTCCCCTCATGCAATGGAGTTTTGTCTGATAAACCCATTGTAAATTGAAAATACCATGTCAAAAATGTATTTAATATACCTAACCTACCAAACATCATAGTTTAGCTCAGCCTACCATAAACATGCTCAGTACCTATGTTAGCCTACAGTTGGGCAAAATCATCTTATGCAAAGCCTGCTTTACAGCAAAGTATTGAATATTTCATTTAATCTATTAAATACTGTGCTGAAAGTGAAAAACAGAATGGTTGTATGGACTCAAAGTATGGCTTCTACTGAATGTATATTACTTTTGTACCATCATAAAGTTGAAAAATCATTAAGCCATCATAAGTCAGGGACTATATTTACCAAGCACTTATTATGAGCCAAGCAATGTTTGAGACCCTGGAAATATAAAGGTGAACAAGATTAAGTCAGATTTTCTGGGGGAAGGGAATCATGGATTATGTAAGACTTCCTTGAGGAAATGACAGCTAAGCTGATATCAAAAAGCAATGTGAGTTAGCCAAGCAACAAAGATGGAAACACAATGGCTCAAAAGTGGTCTAAAAAATAATGTGGCTGGGCCAGGTGCAGTGGCTCACACCTGTAATCACAGCACTTTGAGAGGCCGAGGTGAGGGGATTTCCTGAGTCTACAGGTTCAAGAACAGCCTGGGTAACTTGGTGAGACCTCATCTCTATAATAAATCAAAAATTGCCAGGCGTGGTAGAGCACGCCTATAGTTCAGCTACTTGGAAGGTTGAGGCAGAAGGATCGCCTGAGCCCAGCAGGTCGACGCTGGGGTGGCTGTGAGCATGCAACTGCACTGCAGCATGGGCAATGGAGTGAGACTCCAACTCAGTAATAATAATAATAATAATAATGTAGAGCTGAACCACAGAGTTTGAGCTAGAGACTTAAGTACAGACATAATCATGAAGAGCCTTGTGGGCTATGGTAATTTTGATCTGAAGAACAATGAGGAGCCATTAAGTTGTCTTACAGAGGGGAGAGATATGCTCAGATTTATTCTTTTGAAGGGTCTCTGGCCAAAGTGTAGAGAATGGCTCTGAGGGAGGTATAAAGACCTATTGGCAAGCCTTTGTACCAGGAAAGAAGTGTTGATCATATGAATTATGTAGGGACAGTGGGGACAGAGAGAGATGGATGGAATCAAGAGATAATTAGAAAATAGGAGGAGAAAAGGAAAAGAGAAAGCAAGAGAGAGGAACCTTGGTGACTAGATGGGTGATGGTGCTATTCATTCACTGATGAAAGGAACCTAAAAAGAAATAGATTTGTGATGAAATTATTAATTCAGCTTTGGGTGCATTGAACTCAAAGGAGAGCTTGGAAAAGGCACTCTGGACCCAGTAGTGACTGTGAAAGACAGATGAGGCAACCTTTGTGGTTCCTTCTTGCTTATTCATTAAAACCATAGATGTACAGCTGGTTAGAGAATATTGCTAAGGAGCAGTCTCCTTCAAGGAAAAACATAAATAAAAGTAAAAATGTATATTATGGTATAGTATTTATTGAAATAATGTGCTTTGCAAGCACTGTATTTCCAGTTAGACTACTAGGAAATTTGTTCTTAAAATAATCTTGTGCATAGGCATGGAAAATATAAATAACTGACATCCTCAACACTCTTGCACTCCCTCTTAAGAATATTGGCCAACACTCCATTTTACTTTTATTTTATGTATTTATTTATTTCTTATTTTTTTGGGAGTTGGAGTCTCACTCTGTCACCCAGACTGGAGTGCAGTGACCGTTCCCGGCCACCACAGCCTTGACCTGCTGGGCTCCAGCGATCCTTC